TTTTGCTCGTAAATTTAGGCCCTGAGTGTTTACTGATACCATTTTAACCATGTTCTTTAAAGAAATCTCCCGGTGCTCCCATCGGCATGCATAAACACTTCACAACATTGACATTTACATTACAGTCATACTCTTCTATTCTGGTTGTAAGCCAGAAAATACAGGATGGCCTCTCACCCAACAAGATGACCTTGATGGTTAGAGCCATTCTCTCGATAGTTGGTTTGAAACAAACCCTCCTAACTGTACCTGTGTTTCAACAAGGACACATGGCCGGGGTCAAGAACCCTGCCCAAGGGGATAGGCCTTCATCATTTCTTCTCTTCCCTTATTCTCTCTGATATCCTTTATATTTCTCATTAAGAGAGAGAAAAGAATGGAAAAGGAGAAAGAGGAGAAGGAAATTTTTTTTATTTTTTTTATAGAAATACTCTATACCTTATGTTCTGTTTACTTCGGCACTCTTCCAGTTTACCTCCCTGTATGTATTGGGTGCAAAACCAGCTTGGGGTGAATTAATCTAGTGATGTCCTATTAAATACTATTATGTTTATAAACACTTGTGTAAAACCTTCATTAGTGGCTATATAACCTTATTAATATACTTATTTTCGCTAGTGCTTGTTCCGTGAAGTACGCTTAAAAATAAACAGAAAAAAAATAAAAAAATATCTATCCCTATTATTTACTTAATTAGTAAATTGTACTTGTGGCTTCCTTTAAACAAACTAGTGTGAGAATCCTTCCTTCTTGTAGGCTTTTTCATCTGTGTTTTCTTGAGTAATTTGTGTCTTGTGTTGGGGTGGAGAAAAGTATCCTGATAATCTTTTATCCGGTGGTAAATCTCATTTATCTTTTTTCCTCCGGTCTTCCTGGGCTTTTTTAGATGCCATATCGGTTTTTCTTCTTTTTCTTGGCTCTCTCTTCCTCCCTCTTACTCCCCTCAGTGCTCTTCAGTACTCCTCTTTGTTTTTTCTTTTTATCTTTCCCTTTCCTTTTCTTTCCTTCTTTTATCCTTTAGGGGGAAATCTTATTTTCAGGAGATCAATCCGGAAATCAGGAGATCAATCCGGAAGAAGGGGGAGAGAGACAAGAGGGCACTATATAGTGCCGTAGTGGACAATAGGATCAGGCAAAAAATAAAATAAATAAACAATATCTAGGAACCCAGCTCAGGAACAAAATCAATCCTTATTTTATGTAGTGTGTAATATGCAGTTTTAGGACTTGCCTGAGGGATCATATCCTTATCTGCCCCTTTAACCCTTTACGCCCTATTTTAGGCGTCTCTAAACGCCGCCCGGCGTAATAGTACGCCCTCCATTTTTTTCTTACTTACCCGGTCGCCGGCGATCCCACGCCGGTGATCGTGGTTAGGGGAACTCCCAGGGAGCCCCCCGCAGTGGATCCTCCGTCCTGCAGGCCCCCCCCGGCCGTGTGAGAGTGAGGTCCTTGCGAGGACCTCACAATCACATGGCCGGGATAGCTGGCTGCTGTATTGCCAGCAGGGGGACTGCCTGCAATGGCAGGTAGTCCCCCTGCTGGCTGGAAATAAAATAAAATTAAATAAAAAAATGTAAAAAAAATAAATTATATACTTAGATCATATATATATATATCATAAATATATATATATATATATATATATATATGATCTAAGTATATATATATAAACATATACATACACACACATACACTGTCTAGGTATATTTTACTATTAATATATATATAATTATATATATATATATTAATATCAAATTACACGTAGACTGATACTGATTAAATATATATATATATATATAATTATTGTTATATATATATATATATATTAATATATAATATAAAAAAATGTAAATACGTAAAAGATTTTATAAAAAAAATGAAAAATAAATAATTAAAAAATATATAGATGTGTGTTATTTCGTTCTAACTGTATTGTGATATTAATATATATATATATATATATATATCAAAATACACGTAGAAAGAAATAATATATATCTATATACATAAATATATACGTATATATCACTATATACATACCTATATATAAATAAAAATATTTTAAAAAATTATATATATATATATATATATATATATACACATATATACACATACGTATATATATATACATATATTAATTCTACATATATATTTATGTAATATTTTTACATAATTAGGTATCTTTCCTAATTACAATTAGCGGGACCTGCCTGACAACCCATGCTGAAAGTAAAGGGAATTTAATTTGCTAGCACTGTATTTAACCCTATAACTTTCCAAGACACCATAGAACCTGTACATGGGGGGTACCGTTCTACTCGGGAGACTTCGCTGAACACAAATATTAGTGTTTCAAAACAGTAAAATATATTGCAACGATGATATCGCCAGTAAAAGTGAAGTTTTTTGCATTTTTCACGCACAAACAGCACTTACACGGACGATATTATTGCTGCGATACTTTTTACTGTTTTGAAACACAAATATTTGTGTTCAGCGAAGTCTCCCGAGTACAACAGTACCCCTCATGTACAGGTTTTATGGTGTTTTGAAAAGTTACAGCGTCAAATATAAGGCTTGTGTTTCATTTTTTTCACATTAAACTTCGCAAGATTGGTTACTTTGACTTTGAGACCCTATGGTAGCCCAAGAATGAAAATTACCCCTATGATGGCATATCATTTGCAATAGTAGACAACCCAAGGTATTGCAAACGGGGTATGTCCAGTCTTTTTTAGTAGCCACTTAGTCACAAACACTGGCCAAAATTGGCGTGTTTTGCATTTTTCACACACAAACAAATACTAACGCTAACTTTGGCCAGTGTTTGTGACCAAATGGCTACTACAAAAGACTGGACATACCCCATTTGCAATACCTTGGGTTGTCTACTATTGCAAATGGTATGCCATTATGGGTGTAAATTTCATTCCTGGGTTACTATACAGTCAATTTCAAATGTGACGTGTTATATTTGACCCTGTAACTTCCCAAAACGCCATAAAACCCCTACATAGGGGGTACTGTCTTACATGTGAGACTTTGCTGAATACAAATATGTGTATTTTATTGTAGTAAAAGCAAACAGTATTATGACATTGACAGTTAAAATGTCATGTAGAACTAAAAAAATAAAAAAAACTTTTCTCCCATTTATTTAATATTAAATTATGTTTCATAGCTAAATATTTGATATTAAATGAAATCCCTGTTTCCCCTGAATAAAATGATATATAATAATGGTGGGTGCATTTACTATGAAAGAGGTGAATTACGGTTGGACAGACATGTAGCGCAAATGCCAGGTTTTGTTTACATTTTGTTTTGTTCACAACGTGTACATTTGGCTCCGTCCTTAAGGGGTTAGGACATCCTTCAGTATGTTGCTTTCTAGGATCTCTCTGGGCTCTCTCTGGGTTCTCACTCTGTCCTTGCCTCTCTGCTTTCACCTTCCCCTCTCTCTTCTCTCCCACTCTTTCAGCTCTTTATTTATTCCCTTTGTCTCTCCAGCCCCACCTTAACCCCGTTGTTAGTTTTCCATGGTTATATACTCCTTCTCTTTTCCAATCATACCTTTACCGCCATATGTTTGGTTGAACCTTCAACCTCGACAGTGTCCTCCTTGGCGCTGGAAGCCTCCAGCTTGTTGTATTGTAGCGGGTAGGTAAACTGGGGCACCCAGGGGGAAAGAGAGAGGGATCCGCTTCTGCTGCGTTTATTTCGGTGTAGCGTGGCGTGTTTTAGAGGGTAGGTGGGCTGGGGGATACCAGAAGAGAGGAAGCAGTACACTTCCACTACGGCTTCTGCAGCTTCGGCTGCTCCCCTCGGACAGACGTTCCGACCCCGCCTATCGGTGTCAACGTCTTACGTCATACGCCACTCGTATCTTGAATCTTTTTTCAGTCTGAGGGTGATACTATCTTAACACCAAATAATTCTGTCTTTGGAATGCACTCACAAAATTAAGTTATTCAAAGTGCTTTTGCCAAATTTGCAGGTAGTGGATGTTGTTGCCTCTTGGAACGTAGAGATGCTCAAAAATGGAGAACAAAATGGAACATAGTGTATAAATTACAAAGATGCATGGAAAAAAGCTTATTACCATATACAGTTGTAATCAAAATTATTCAACCTCCATTGAAAATCAGGTTTATTATAAACATTTACAAACTTTCAGCTGTTTGCAGTGAACAGCTCAAACAAAAGCTATTGAAATAGCTCAACAAAGCAATTAAAATAGCTCAACACAGCTATTGAAGCGAATACTTAAAATGGTTTCCCCAAATTCAACCGAAAATGCAAATTATAATGGGGGATGAATAATTTTGATTACAACTGTATATGGTACAAACAGTTGATCCCACGATTTTCCCAACTGTTTCAAGTAATTCAGGTGCACAATATAACTAAAACACAATATAAACAGTTTAAAGTCAAAATAAAAATCCTATGACGCATTTTGTCTGCAATGCGCTGACTTCTTCAGGGTAAAAGGAGTACCATACTACTTCATGCCCTTTTAAAGTGCTAAACGCAAGTTTTCAACCGATGAGAGGAAACACTATGCTGTCCTTAACAAATCAGTCAATGAAGGAACATTGCGGCTCCTATTTCCTCTCTTCCGCGTCCCAATCCTTGTTCCCATTGCCGTGAGTGAGGCATCTGACGTCATGCATTTTACGAATCTGGAACCAAATAAGATGTTTGCGTTTCACTGTGTTTCTTTATATTTCAAAAGATATGAGTCCTAATAATATCCATTTAGCAAAATCAACTGCTCAAGGGGAGGAAATAAATGCTACAGTAAGTGATTATACATACAGTTGCAAGAAAAAGTATGTGAACCCTTTGGAATGATATGGATTTCTGCACAAATTGGTCATACAATGTGATCTGATCATCATCTAAGTCACAACAATAGACAATCACAGTCTGCTTAAACTAATAAAACACAAAGAATGAAATGTTGCCATGTTTTTATTGAACACACCATGTAAACATTCACAGTGCAGGTGGAAAAAGTATGTGAACCCTTGCATTTAATAACTGGTTGAACCTCCTTTGGCAGCAATAATAGTTGCAGATCAGACGTGCACAACGGTCAGGAGTAATTCTTGACCATTCCTCTTTACAGAAATGTTTCAATTCAGCAATATTCTTGGGATGTCTGGTGTGAATCGCTTTCTTGAGGTCATACCACAGCATCTCAATCGGGTTGAGGTCATGACTCTGACTAGGCCACTGCAGAAGGCGTATTTTCTTCTGTTTAAGCCATTCTGTTGATTTACTTCTATGCTTTGGGTCATTGTCCTGTTGCAACACCCATCTTCTGTTGAGCTTCAGCTGGTAGACAGATGGCCTTAAGTTCTCCTGCAAAATGTCTTGATAAACTTGGGAATTCATTTTTCCTTCGATGATAGCAATCCGTCCAGGCCCTGACGCAGCAAAGCAGCCCCAAACCATGATGCCTCCACCACCATACTTCACAGTTGGGATGAGGTTTTGATGTTGGTGTGCTGTGCCTTTTTTTCGCCACACATAGTGTTGTGTGTTTCTTCCAAACAACTCAACTTTGGTTTCATCTGTCCACAGAATATTTTGCCAGTACTGCTGTGGAACATCCAGGTGCTCTTGTGCAAACTGTAAACGTGCAGCAATGTTTTGTTTGGACAGCAGTGGCTTCCTCTGTGGTATCCTCCCATGAAATCCATTCTTGTTTAGTGTTTTACGTATTGTAGATTCGCTAACAGGGATGTTAGCATTTGCAAGTGACTTTTGTAAGTCTTTAGCTGACACTCTAGGATTCTTCTTCACCTCACTGAGCAGTCTGCGCTGTGCTCTTGCAGTCATCTTTACAGGACGGCCACTCCTAGGGAGAGTAGCAGCAGTGCTTTCTCCATTTATAGACAATTTGTCTTACCGTGGACTGATGAACAGCAAGGCCTTTGGAGATACTTTTATAACCCTTTCCAGCTTTATGCAAGTCAACAATTCTTAATCGTAGGTCTTCTGAGAGCTCTTTTGTGCGAGGCATCATTCACATCAGGCAATGCTTCTTGTGAAAAGCAAACCCAGAACTGGTGTGTGTTTTTATAGGGCAGGGCAGCTGTAACCAACACCTCCAATCTCATCTCATTGATTGGACTCCAGTTGGCTGACATCTCACTCCACTTAGCTCCTGGAGATGTCATTAGTCTAGGGGTTCACATACTTTTTCCACCTGCACTGTGAATGTTTACATGGTGTGTTCAATAAAAACATGGCAACATTTCATTCTTTGTGTGTTATTAGTTTAAGCAGACTGTGATTGTCTATTGTTGTGACTTATATGATGATCAGATCACATTTTATGACCAATTTGTGCAGAAATCCATATCATTCCAAAGGGTTCACATACTTTTTCTTGCAACTGTATTTACAATTTTCACATCAATTGCAAATAAGTAATACAAAAATAAAAAAGAAGGGGGGCTACATAACTGTTAGCCAGCTGAAATAGGGATAAGGAACATTAAGTGCGATAGTTACTAACAAAAAACTAAGCTTGCGATTCTTGTACTTGTGAGTCTTGTAAAAATAAAAAAAAGAATTTAAAAAAATGACAAAGGGGGCGGAGCCTAGCTTCCAGGCTGATCAGACGTGCAGGAACCAAGCTCCTGACCAAAACTGCACATTTATGGGTAAAAACCCCTAAAAAACGGCACGTCTACTGTCAGGAGGATGCTAAACAAGGAGGGGACACCCGGAAGAACCGATTGACACCCGATTCTCGTCTAACAAGAGCCGGGAACCCTAAAAACCTGCTGAGGCCTACTGGGGATCGAACAGAGGAAAGGCGGCCGCTTTCCTCGCTAGAGAGCCAGACCACAGGCTCAGCATACCTCCTAACTCCTTCCCCCCCCCCTGGACCGGTGGGGGACATCCCGGTCCACACTAAGCGACTGAAGCACAGACTACTAGCTACTGCCAAGGGGCCTGAGCCAGACACCTGGGTGAGCCACGAGGCACCCTCAAGATGGCCGCCACAGCGCAACCCCAACACAGCCCAGTAAGCCAGACGGACCAAAGCTGGAGAGAGGCCTTTGACGCCCGGTTTGAGGCTATTTGCCAGGCCTTCTGGGACCGCTTAGCCAAGCGGGGACCCCAGCCGTGCCCTCCCGAAACAGAACCTACCTACCACACAGCAGCGGACACCTGTCCCTCTTCTGGGCCGGGGGCCCAACTGGAGGAAACTCCAGGCCGCAGTCCGACCACCCACAGGGAAGACCGCAAGCCGGAAACCCCGGGGACCCACGATCCGGCCTCCCGACGGAGGGGGATCCACGGACAGAGGGCACTAGCCCCCAACAAAGCCCAGAGCCGAAGAGACAGAGACCCATCGTGCAGCACACAGAGCTCGCAACGCGAACAGGGCAACCCACGCTCCCGCATACCGACTAGAAGCACGAGCAAACCAGACCTGGAAACGGACTCTCCATTGCGGCAAGCACGGGGCATAGGCTGAGGAAGGCATACAACACACCCATCAGCCTACCTCCTGAAACCTGCCAACGGTCTGCGACCTGACAACCCCTCATGGACACTGTTAACTGTAAAAAAATGACAAAAAACAAAAATGCTAATGAAAAATATAAATAAATTATATAAGATGAAAAAATTACCAAAAAAGTATGTTACATTTTTTTACATAAAACAAACCATGTTTAATTCCATATTTAACCTACTTTGGGTGCATTGTTTGTAATCTATGAATCCAATAATATTCTATCCTACTTAGCTTCATCATAATATCACCTTCTCTCTCATCCAACGTTACCTTCTCAATTCATATATAGAAAAGTTCTTCAAATCAAACATTGAACAGCTCAGGCATTGAGTGTTTGTGAAACTTGCGTTTTATATTATCCAAATGCTCTAATAATCTGACTTTTAATTTGCGTCCTGTTGTCCCTACATATTGTACACCACACTTCCAAGTTAGAAGGTATAGAACATAAGTAGTAAACTCATTAATATCATTATTGATTTTACAACTTTCTCCAGTTTGAGTGCTTGTAGATGACACAACATTATAAGAGAAGAATGAACGTCACTTTCTTTTCCCACATTTTTCAAGACCGCATATTTCAAGCATTCTTGCTTTAATCCCTCTAAAAGTGCTTGATGCTAATCTGTTTTTTTACATTTTGGGACCTCCTAAAAATAATAGAGGGTTCCTGAGGGATATGGGAACAAAGGAACTCATCCTCTAATAAGAGAGGCCAATTTTAATTTTTTCAAGTCTTTTTTAATGTCAAGGGCTGCTGAATTATATTGGGTGATAAAAGAAACTTGAAATGTATTGTCTATTATTTTATTTTTTATCTTACCCATTAACAAATCTCCCCCCTATTGTCATAATTTTGTTATCATCTATATCATTATAACCTTTTGTCACAAACTTTTCTTTTAAAATGTGGGCTTGTAAATAATTTACCTCCTTTTCTTTGCAACTGCACCAGATTCGGGTAAATTGACTCATAGTTACTCCAGCTAACCAACGTTGTTGATGACTACTAGTTGGACACATACGGAGCCTTCATAACTCTTTCTTCACTTTATTTCACTCCTTTATTTCCCCTTGGGATCCAGAACCTTGGTGCAGTCAGGAGCTGACTCAGAACATCTTGGCGTCCCTTTGTGGCAGGTCTTTTGACCTATTGATGTGCCTTTCTGACCACTGTTAGTGGCGGACCACTTGTGAGTGCATTAACCACCTTATCTTTTATCATTCTATCTATCAGTTTTACACTATGTTTTGTTTTATGTTTATGTTTTAAGTGATTACAATCTGGAATATAATTTCCTAACTGGAGTACTACCAGTATATTTCAGAAGACCTATAACCAGTGTATGCATATTATCTCATTGGTGATCCTCACACATGTAATTGTAGCACACCACATCATTTCTTTTGCCTTTTGTGTTTATCACGTTTTTTTTGGAGTTAACCAGGGTGTTGGTGACAACTAGAAGACTCACTACACATATATAATGGTTGTCTTGGCATTTAGTATTTGTTTTGAGAAAAGTCTGTTATGACTGCAACGTACGTTGACACTTTTTGATTTCTGCAATAAAATCGTGATTCATTTACTCTACAAAGACTCCAGAGTGCTCTCTTCAAGGAAAATATATTAGGCTAGAGATTTGCACCAGAGCAATTTAAATACCGGAAATGTTGAGTGCTGGGATCTAGGAAATATAAATATAAATTAAAGCTTCTTCACTCCTACGTACAAATAAATAGCCGGGTGCTCAGTAACACTTCATGCATAGTTCAAATAAAAATACCAGCACTCCAGGGCTTCCATAATTTTTCTTTTATTGCTTAATCTTTAAATAGGTCAAAGTTTCAGTTCCTAACAGGAACTTTCATCAGGACCGCATAAGCTGGACATATTATGCAAAGTTTTAATGTAAAAAAGAAATGAAAAAATGTATTTCCCATATTTTGGCAATTTTTTTTATTGTTAATGAGAATGTATATGTGACATCAAATTAAAGACACGTTTGCCCTCTAAAAATGGTATATAATAAGTGCAATAAATGAGAGACATGCAAATTGCGATTAAATACAAACTGCAAAAAAAGGAAAAAAATTGCTGTGTCCTTAAGGGGTTAAAGGAACACTATAGTCACCAAAATTACTTTAGCTAAATAAAGCAGTTTTAGTGTATAGATCAGTCCCCTGCAAGTTCACTGCTCAATTCACTGTCATTTAGGAGTTAAATCACTTTGTTTCTGTTTATGCAGCCCAAGCCACACCTCCCCTGGCTATGACTGACAGAACCTGCATGAAAAAAAAAACTGGTTTCACTTTCATGAATATACATAATATTAAGAAGTATTTTTACATTAACATACCGCAATAATAAATATATTGAGTATGGAATGTTCGTGCAGAAAATCAATAAAAGTGATTTTACAGATGCAATTTACCTTATATGAACTCTAGGTACAACTACAAACATATTTTGACGGTACAATATTTGTACTTTCCCAGCTAAAATGTGTTATGTCTAACATTTCTGTGTTTTAACCCCTTAAGACCGGAGGGCGTACTATTACGTCCTCTAATAGGCGGCTCTAAACGCCGCCGGGCGTAATAGTACGCCCTCCGGTCTTTCTGTACTTACCCGGTCGCCGGCGGTCCCACGCCGGCGATCGCGGTGGGGGGGACTCCCAGGGAGCCCCCCGCGGCACGACCGTCCTCCAGGAAGCCCCCCGGCCGTGTGAGAGTGGGGTCCTAGCGAGGACCCCACAATCACATGGCCGGGGATAGCTGGCTTCTGTATTGCCAGCAGGGGGGCTGCCTGTAATGACAGGTGGTCCCCCTGCTGGCTGAAAATAAAAATGAAATAAATAAATAGTGTAAAAAAATAAATAATATATACTTAGATCATATATATATATTATATATATATGATCAAAGTATATATATACACACATATACATACACACATGTACACCGTCTAGGTGTATTTTACTATTATATATATATATATATATTAATATCAAATTACACGTACACTGATACTGATTAAATATATATATAATTATTGTTATATATATTTATATATATTATAAAAAAAATTAAAATGTAAATACGTTAAAAAATAAAATTACAAAAATAATTAAAAATAAATAATTAAAAAATATATAGATGTGTGTTATTTCGTTCTAACTGTATTGTGAAATTAATATATATATATATATATCAAAATACACATAGAACGAAATAATATATATATTTATACACATAAATATATACGTATATATCACTATATATATACCTATATATAAATAAAAATATTTTTAAAAAATTATATAGATATATACATATATATACACATACGTATATATATACATATATTGATTCTACATATATATTTATGTAATATTTTTACATAATTAGGTATCTTAATTAATTACAATTAGCAGGACCTGCATGACAACCCATGCCGAAAGTAAAGGGAATTTAATTTGCTAGCACTATATTTAACCCTATAACTTTCCGAGACACCATAAAACCTGTACATGGGGGGTACTGTTCTACTCGGGAGACTTCGGTGAACACAAATATTAGTGTTTCAAAACAGTAAAATGTATTACAACGATGATATCGCCAGTAAAAGTGACGTTTTTGCATTTTTCACGCACAAACAGCATTAAACGGACAATATTATTGCTATGATACTTTTTACTGTTTTGAAACACAAATATTTGTGTTCAGTGAAGTCTCGCGAGTACAACAGTACCCCTCATGTACAGGTTTTATGGTGTTTTCAAAAGTTACAGCGTCAAATATAAGGCTTGCGTTTCATTTTTTTCACATTAAAATTCGCCAGATTGGTTACGTTGCCTTTGAGACCCTATGGTAGCCCGAGAATGAAAATTACCCCTATGATGACATACCATTTGCAATAGTAGACAGCCCAAGGTATTGCAAACAGGGTATGTCCAGTCTTTTTTAGTAGCCACTTAGTCACAAACACTGGCCAAAATTGGCGTTTTTTGCATTTTTCACACACAAATACTAACGCTAACTTTGGCCAGTGTTTGTGACCAAATGGCTACTAAAAAGACTGGACATACCCCATTTGCAATACCTTGGGTTGTCTACTATTGCAAATGGTATGCCATTATGGGTGTAAATTTCATTCCCGGGCTACTATACAGTCTCAAAGGCAGCGTAACCAATCTGGCAAATTTCAATTTCAAATGTAACGTGCTATATTTGACCCTGTAACTTCCCAAAACGCCATAAAACCTGTACATAGGGGGTACTGTTTTACACGTGAGACTTTGCTGAATACAAATATGTGTATTTTATTGCAGTAAAAGCAAACAGTATTATAACACTGACCGTTTAATTGTCATGTAGAACTAAAAAAATCCAATAAAATCGTATTTTCTCCCATTTTTTTCATATTAAATTATGTTTCATAGCTAAATATTTGATATTAAATGAAAGCCCTGTTTCCCCTGAATAAGATGATATATAATAAGGGTGGGTGCATTTACTATGAAAGAGGTGTATTACGGTTGGACAGACATGTAGCGCAAATGCCAGGTTTTGTTTACATTTTGTTTTGTTCACAACGTGTACATTTGGCTCCGTCCTTAAGGGGTTAATTACACTCCTTTCTGTCTTCTTTTTTTTCTTATCTATTTTTGTCTTATTCATTCTAGAAAATAAGAAATAGAAATAGTGTTTTGAAAGAACACGTGCTTGTATAAAAATATATATATTTTTATATAATTTACTATATAAAATGTACAATGCCTTGTGCACACATTGTGAATTGACAGTGCATTTTATAACAATAGAAAGTAACAAGAGTGAGAAGAAATTGGGAATTTATAACATGAAGTTTGGGAAAGGTTACTACATGTCAAAACGCAGGAAATACATCACAGCGAGCAAAAAAATTCTGTCTCATGTCACCAAAGATGAGCTGTTTTGTAATTCCAATGCACACTGAACCAATGCTACTTGCAGGGTCATGCTGAGAGAATACAAGAAGTCTCAATGAAAAATATCCTGCATTACCAAATCATAGCTGTATTCCAAATGTACTCTGAAACAAATTAGTTCTAGGCATTGATGCAACAATTGCTCTATGAATTAGTATTCAATAAGTTGAACACAGAACTTTCACAATAAATATGAGGAAGTGTTCGATGTGACTAATAATCTCCAATGGTATATAAATAGTTAATGCAAATGACATATACAGGGAATTCAAAGTTAATTTCAAATTAAAGGCAAAAATAACTGAATTTCAAAAACTCCTAAACTCATGTATTCTTCCAGTTTGTCTACTTTGACTTAAAGTTTGAAATTCACTTTAGCCCTGATAGTATTAAAAAAAAAAAAAAAAAAGTAATAAAAACTACGAAAACAAATTACTACAAAATAATTATTGCTAAGGCTAGGGTGCTATTGCTATGCAATTTTTCTACAGAATATGCAAAGACCCCTGACGGTGACATGTCAGCTGGAGGTCCACTGGCAGGGGGGCATGCGAGAGAGCAGCATTGAGGTCTATGGAGAATCCCACAAGACCGTGGAATCCTCCATAGACAAAGCCAATTCCCTGCAACCGTCACTTCTAGGAGGTGATAGCTCCACCCAGTGTCTATAAGTGTCAGACGTAGTCCCTACCTTGTCTCAGTATATCTCTTGATTAGGTTGGAATTTAAGTGAAATTCTAACACAATCAACATGAGTAATTCATAAAAATGTTATCTTTATGAAATACTCATTTTTCAGG